ATGAGTATCCCCATTTCAACTCCCTTAGAAGCTATAAAGTAAACCATAAAGTTACTTGAGCTTGCTTGATGTTTTCTTCTAAGATGCATCTAACTATTAATTATCCCAACAGTGATAAATACTCTCATTACATGGCCTCACCTCCCTTAAAAAAATTGTTCCTTTGTTTTTTCCCAAGTGAACTCTTTTTTTCTTTGTTATTTGATTTATGATCTTTTTATTTGTCAATAATTTTAAAAGTAACTTTTGTTTTTAGTTATTTTAGTAATTTAGCCTCTTCAAAATGTAAGAACTAATCAATAGTTAGTTTTGTTTCATTGCTTGCAGCTGGCCATTATTATGCCTTAGTGCCTTCACCTATAGACATCTTACTAAAGGAATAACAATAAAGAACCTTGTTATTTGATTGTTTTTCAAGGGTACTTCTATGTTCTAGTTAGCAGTTGAAATTCTAGGATGTTAGTTAGCAGTTGAAATTCTTTTGAAATTCTAGGATGTTACTTGTCTATATGCTTACATTTGACATACTAATTATATATGAAAGAAAATGAATACACACATTTTCTTTCCTCTCTTCCTTTTTGCATGAGTGAGTTTGTTAGGAGCTTCAAATATGGAGTCTGCCGTGAACTTGAGTAAGATAGTGAGAGAGAGATAAGTAGTTTTAGAGGCGAGTAGAAAGGAGAGAAAAGAAAGGTTTTAGGGTTAGAATGAGAGAAGTGAAGAGAGAAAGTAAGATGAGATGAAAGTATTTATAAGGGATTCTAAGACTGTTCGTTAGTTCAGGAGGTTGTAGACAAAATTCTATTACACCATTACATGGCTGTATTCTCTTACATTCTACTCTAGTACGGCAATACAGAAAAATCCAACAAACCATAGCAGAAAGGAAATCCTAATAGTACTATATAGCTACAGCTGGAGAAGTGCAAGCTGAAATGACAGAAATTATTCCATTTCCAAGTACCCAAAATCTGGAACGCCAGCTCAGCTTAGCAGATAATTTTTCTTCTTTTTTTGATAATAAATCTGGAATGCATTGCCACCCTCCCTCAGCTGTCCTTTTACCGTTTTGACCCAAGTCTTTTGTTGTCGTAACAACTCTTCCCCCTCCGGAAACTTCCTTGTCCTCAAGGAAACATTCTGGAAATTACTTCTTCAGAAAACTGATGTCTTCCCAGGTAGCTGTCCTCACGTTCTCTGTTAGTCCACTGCACCAGAACTTGTTATGTGGTCTGTCTTCCTCTC